TATTGACAATCGTTATTAAAATTTTTTTGCACAATTCATTTTACCTAATCATCTTTTATATAATTTCATAAATATACCTATGCTTTGATAATGTTCATCAAAATTATATGGCCGAAACATATTTTTTAAGCCAGACACGGAAGATGTAAAATTAAATTTGGGAAAGACAAATACATTTTAATTATGTTATCGAAATGTGGGCAATACGCATAAAGCATTAGTATGTATTTTTAGCGCGTCTCCACAAAAAATGCGTTATTGACACTTTGTTCGTCCGTCCATCCGTATGGCTGTGTAAGTCTAAGTAAGTAAAGATCTGTTAGTGAAGTAAAGATTTGTTAGTGATCTTTACAGCTATTTGGTTCGTTATGGCGTCGAAGATTGCATCAAACAAGGATTTTTTCACCAATTATAGCAAAAAAAAAAACTCACCAACCAATAAAAATTCCATCATTCTGGGCGTTCAAATTACCTTCGACCATTTAAAACGGTTGATGTAGTGTAAATGTGCAGGCTCTAGTCTATTTTGAGTTAGAATACTTGTGAGATCAATAATTCAAGAAAATAATTTCGATATGGTTTTCGGAAGTGCTATAATTTTACCGTTAGATAGCGCTACCAGTATAATAACTTAATTATAAGAGCATTTTTGAAAAAAAAATACGATATTATATTCGTTATGACTGGCTGGCTGGCTATCCGGCTGAGATCTCGGCAATTACAATTGCTAGAGACTTTAAATTTTCACTAAAAGCTTTCTGTTGTGTAGATGTGCAGGCTCTAGTCTATTTTGAGTGAGATTACTCGTGAGCTCTATAATTTTAAATTTTGCTAATGAAATACTGGTCTGCATTACCAAAAATGCACTTTCATCATGCATATGCTGCTTTACAATCTGTTTATTCTAAGCAATGGTTGAATTTCAAAGTACAGTCGCTGTAAAACTGTTCATCTTCTTTCAATATTGAAAGTTTTGTCATTTAAAACCCAATATATCTTCCAGGAATCATTTTCAAATGGAGCAGGGTCCTAAGAAATCAATTTGCAAACTATCGAATCAGGCTGGTGGGTGCAATTTAATAGAAACGATAACATCTTTATTTGTTATCATTACAGGCTTAGGTAATAGACGAAACCGTCAAAACGCCCGTTTCATAAACGCTATAAATAAAATCCCAAGCCTACAATTTCTAATAACAATATTTTTTTGTAAACTGAACATATAAAAAGATATGATCGAAAAACTAAAAAACGAACAAAATTTCTTTAGTTTTAGGGGTTGGTGTGGGGAAAGCAAAAGGGGTGGGAGGTTGAAAACTTGGATTCTTAACCACCAGATATTCCTCCATGACATGCAAAAAAGAATACTTCTCGTTTTGCAGGAAATAGTTCATTTTCAGTCTCTCTTTTTCCTCGTATTTTCCGGACTGTTTCGCGCATGCGCAATGGTAACTTTCTTATTTACGAGAGCATTTAAATGAAATTTGATGTATAGGCACTTGGAATAAAAGCAAATCTAACTCCAGTTTCGAAATTTGGTTTTGCGCATGCGCAAGGCCAACTTTCTTATTTATTTATTAACAACAAATTTCTTTTGAAGAGAATGGGGCACCGGTATTTTTTTCCCGGCCCTAGCATTAAATATGCATTATTAGGAGGAAAATACGTTCTCGTCATTTATGTTTGCATAATATCGACTTTTTAACTTGTTTGAAATATTATACGGATATTATAGTGCCTTTGCTCGCAGCTTATAGTGCCATAAAGTACTAACCGCCCCAATTTTCATTAAATTTGGTGTTGTCAGCAACTTTGGATAATGCCTCCCATGTTGAAGTTATTTCATTTCAATATGGCCCCTTATGGTGTAAACGAAATTTCAAGTTTCTATTTCAATTGCCAATTTAAAAACTAAAAAACTTATCGAACGGGCTACATGAATCACCCAAATGTGCGTAACTTACGTTAATATATCCAAATGTTGTCCAAAGGGTTCTTGTAATCATTTTAATATAAAGCAGTAGTACATAAAAAACAAGTTAAAAAGTCATTATGCAATCATAAATGACAAGAGCGTATTTTCCTCCTAATAATGTTAATGCTAGGATCGGCAAAAAATACCGGTAGGCACAAGATCCTTACCCCATTATCTTTCAAATGAGCCGCCTATCGTCGCAGTCTATACAGTTTAATAAAAAAAAATAGTGCAGCGTATACAAATACAAAGTTTTAAATGGGAATTAGTTGTACATTTATTCGAAGTGTCTACATATATTTATTTATTTATTTATTTATTTATTTATTGCGCCTCTTGTTCTAGGCCCTCAACAGGTTTACGCCCAACTACAGAGTGACTCGCATAATGCTTTTTAGAGGTGCCCCTGCGAAGGTCTTAAGTTGTTCTATACTACTCCGGCATTTACCTTACGAATTAGGAAAACTGCAGGAAAACCTAATTCGGAGTAGCCGGCAGAATGCTCGAAACTGATCTAAGGAAATTCCCATCTCTGCCACAGATGAAAAATTCACCTCAAACCAGTTTCGAACACCCGATCTCCGGATTTATACCCCAACGCTCTATACCACTGAGCTATAATGCCGGAGATAAAACCTTTGTTAAATGCCTGGTTCAATGCTTTCGCAAATAGCATTGCACGTTGTTTACATTAGAAATTTCATTGAATACCTAAATAAAAAAGTTGTCATTGCGCATGCGCAAAACCAAATTTTAAAACCGGTGTTAGATTTGCTTGTATTTCAAGTGCCTATGTATTAAATTTCAGTTAAATGCTTTCATAAAGTAGAAAGTTGCCATTGGGCATGCGCAAGACAACATTTTGAAACGTCGTTAATTTTACTTATATTCATAGCGTTTACAAAGTTTCATTTAAATATCTTCATAAATAAAAAAGTTAGCATTGGACATGCATTAAACCAAATTTTTGACACTGCGGATACGCAAAACCAAAAATATCGGTGTGCACCGAATCCTTGGACCAAGCCCTTTCAAATGAGCCCTATATCGCCCAAATCGGTTCAATGGTGTAGAAGGAGTACGTGTGACGGACGGACGGACGGACGACAAAGTGCAGCCAATAGCGATTTTTCACTTTGAGGAAAATACGCCAAAAACTGAAGTGGATACGAGCAGCCTACTTTTATAGACGTTTTTGGTAATCGATTGCGTATTATAAATTGTAATATAATTTAGTCATTTTTGACACTGTAAAGTACGTGGAAATCTAGTCCTTGGTAATCAGCTTATTATAAAATACTTTATTGTTCAGCATCGCTGAGTAATCCTCTTTGAGTTCGAGTATTCTCAAAGTTTTATTTACATTTGTACTTGGAAAGCAGCTGAAAATTAAGTTATTATTAATTAACTTCACCATGTTCGCATAATTGTGCAACTTTATTTAATAAATCCCAATGTGTTAGTTTTCGATACTTAATTCTGCTTTACAGAATACGTACAATATAGTACATAATCACGAAGCTTGGAGAACCAGTAATAACTATGGGAAATATACAATAATGTCGGAGCTGGATCACTGAGGGTATTGGTTACTTTGTATTATGTGATGTAATGGTGTAGTTGTAGTGGCACACATAGGTACGTGTTCACTTATCGCAGTGCTGTTTGTATAGAGACTTTCTTTAAAATAAGCTACTAAACAATTAATGTCTTTCATCGCCCCTATTCAATGCACAGCATTATTCTTTTTAAGAAAGCGATTTTTCTATCTAAAATCATATTTGAGCGTAGCAGAAAGAAGTAATGTCATGAATCGAGGAAATATCCCTTGAATGGATCACATTCAATCCTCCAATAGTAGAACGGAATGGGTGATTTGTCTACATAAAGAATTCGAAATGAACATCAATAAGTCATCAAATTAAGGGTTTATTATCCGTTATGACAGAAAATATTCAGTCTCCATACGAATCAAAATAATTTTGGTCATGCGATACGCTTCGTAAATATTGATTTGATTTGAATTTACCGGGACATATATTTTTACCTATCTATAGATATTCCATAAAACTTTTAAATCTTATTTATTTTACGCAGTTTCGAGATTCCGAATTACTAGATTTTTTCTAACGAACGTAATCAGATGAAATAAAAAGTATTTTATAAGTGCTTATTCTCAAAGCGGAAAGTTTTATTTAGGACTGTTCGAGTAGCTCGTTTTCTTGCGAAACACAATTGAATGTGTATAGACGTGATCAAAGCGAACCATTTCAAATGTTTAGGTGCTTGGGTTGGGACAAATCTTTAAACGCGAGGAGAGTGTGGGTTTTCTTTTCATCTGTAAACATTCCATAGGAAACGAAAGTGATAGGTGACTATCGATGTGGAATCGGTGATAGAGATAAGGTGGGCTGAATCTTGAAGAATAAATCAATCACTAACAATACTACACACCTAAACTGCTATTTATAACTATGCACAGCTGTGGTTGTGTAATATAATAAGCGTATAACAAAAATTAGTCGTAGTGCGCACCAAAGAAACATCCTTTTTTAGCGCAGTTCCACAAAAATAAAAAAAATGCGCTAGTGTGGCCACTTTGTCCAACCATCTGTCCGTCCGTCCGCTCGTTCGTTGAGACTCTACTTGTTCTACTTTTTTCGCTATTTTTTTATGAGTATGCAGGAATTTTGTATATAAACGGCTAGTCAACACAGGTATAGAAATTAAAAGAGGCAGAGAAATGGAAAGGAGGCAGAGCAGTAAAATTTCTCTGCCTGGTGTTCTAGTTGATGCGGCTAGGGACTACAACTACCCGTTGATAGTTTAACCGCGTGTGTAAAAAGATCATTCACGAAAAAGAGAATATTCTATAATCGATCAATTTTATTTTATTGACAAACTTCTATTAATTTCAAATCTGTTACATACATACTTGATTACTATAAATGCATCTTTCTTCATACTCCCACCAAAATTACTAAAAGGTAATTTTTAAAAACATTACCAAATTAAGAAATCTAATCTAATTCTCATAATTTAACCTATCTGGTTTTCTAATAACTCGACCAGCTTTCGATAATACCTGTGATTCACCAACATCTTCAGTTTTCAACTTTAATTTACATTTATTTTTTGCATCCAATTCTTCTACGTCTTCACTTGATTCCTCCATTGGATACAAGCGTTGGACTGGTCGGATGAACACACCTCGTGACGTTTTCAGTTTTGCAACTCTACAAATACCATCGCGACCACGAATCATTTCTGTTATTCGACCGATAGGCCACGCTAACCGCTTTTTATTATCCGACCCAACTAGGACTACGTCACCAACCTTCAACGTGATATCATTTGTCTTACGCTTCTTATCAATTAACATTCCAATATATTCTTTTCGAAAACGATGACGAAGATCATTCATAAGTCGTTGACGCAACCTGTATCTTTTCTGGAACCCTTTGTTATCCAGCATATCAATATCTGGCACTCCAACTTCACGAACTCCCTGTAGAAACATAGAGGGCGTCAATGGCAGTAAGTCATCATTTTCAAATACGTAAGTTAAGGGTCTTCCATTTATAACACCTTGAACATCACAAAGGACAGTAACCAGTTCTTCATAATTCAAAATCGACGAACCAAGTACACGTACAAGCAATTCTTTCATTGTCCTCACTAAACGCTCAAACCAACCACCGTACCAAGGAGCAGAAGGAGGATTCAGTATCCATTTAATTTTTTGAACAGATGTTTCCTTTTCAATCCTACCCCACTCAAGTCCAGCAAGAAGTCTATTAGCTCCAACGAAGTTGGTTCCGTTGTCTGTATAAATCACAGATGGTCGACCATTTCTTGCGACAAATCTTCTTAAACTCATTAAGAATGCTTCAGTGGTTAGATTTGTCACCAATTCTAAGTGTACTGCACGATAAACAGCACACGTATATAGAGCTACACAAACTTTACTGCCGTCTTTTAGATACATAGGACCAGCGTAGTCAATTCCTATGATTTCAAAGGGATGAGCATCTCTAACACGATTCTCTGGCAATGGTGCCATGATTGGATCTGGCGCTTTTCTTCGAAAACGTCTACACTTCACGCAATTGCGAATCACATGTTGTATTGCTTTTCTACCTTTTAAGATCCAAACCTTCTCTCTTAAGTGGGACACGAGGTATTGAACTCCTGCGTGACACTTATCTAAATGTTCCTCATGAATAAGCGCATCAACAACAGGATGTCTTGAAGGAAGCAGAATAGGTCGAACAAAATAATCAGAATCCTTCCTCATTGTTATCCGTGTTTTAACTCTTAATAGACCACTAGTATCTTTCTCCACATTAAACGGAAATGACTTATTTTTATCTGTAAACACTTCTTTCTGAACCATAAACAATAATTTCTGCTCTGCAACTCTAAGTTCTTCAACTGTGAGAACTATTGAATAAAAATTATTATGTGTACGGCAACGACATATAAACCGCATCACATAACCCATAACTATTACAAGTTTATTATACTTGGAAAACTTACACTTCGTAGGAAAATACCAAGGAATCTCATCCTTCATCACCGCATTAAACGCCGTAACCATCCTCTTCCTCTCTTGTTGAACTTCATCTTCATTTTCGACATATTTATTGATGGGCCATTGTTCAACATCTTTAAGCCAAGCTGGTCCCTCCCACCACTTTGACTCCAATAATGAACGAGCATCACACCCACGAGAAGGCAAATCCGCAGGATTCAAGGACCCAGGAACATGTCGCCATTCCTCTGGTTCAGTGTTTGAAAGGATCTTTTTCACCCTATTTCCTACGAAGGTTCCCCAATTATCGTTACGTTTTATCCAAGACAATGCCGTAGTAGAATCTGTCCAGAAGTAACGATTAACATCATCCAACTTTAATGAATTTTCTACAGTCTGACACAGTCTACTACCAATTTCGCAAGAAATCAATTCCAACCTATTAATGGTTATATCCTTTAAAGGAGCAACTCTGGATTTGGCCATCAATAGCTGTACCATTCCTGTACCGTTGATTTCACTTCGAAGAAAAACTGTGGCAGCATATCCACTTTTACTTGCGTCACAAAATGTATGAAGAGTCCAACTTTGTTTGTTGCCTCTGCAAGCCCAACGAGGAATTTCTAATAAATTGAGTAACGCAATATCATGTTTCCATTTAAGGAATTTTCTCGACACTTCGGATGACACAGATTCATCCCAACCAAGTTTTGAATTCCAGGTTTCCTGAAGTAGTAACTTTGGTACTAACGTCACAGGAGCTAATATTCCAAGCGGATCAAATATTTTAGCTACTTCGGCCAAAATAATTCGTTTAGTGGTAGCTTTTTCAACTCCTTTAACGTTTAGAAAACATGACAAGGTGTCAGACCTTCGATTCCACTTCATTCCCAATACGTTAGTAACTACTAGCTGTTCAAGAAAATCATCAACGTTACTTTCCCACATTCGAAGACAAAATTTCGCTTCTGCCATTATACGCGTTGACTCGTTCTTGAATTTCATGTATTCTTCGACGTTATCAAAACATGCAACTACATTATCAACATATAACGTTGTTAATAACTTATCCGCTGTTGACCTAAGATGCTGATCAACTCTTCGCAAATGGTATTCAATAACTGCAGATAAAAGGAATGGACTACAGTTAACACCAAAAACGACACGCTTATGTCGATAAATTTTCATATCTGAACATGTAGAATCCTCCCACCAGAGAAACCGTAGGAAGTTTCGATCATCTTCCTTAACTCCAATCATCAAAAATGCTTTTTCAATATCAGCTGTTGCAGCGACTGACTTTTCTCTAAAGCGTAAGAGGAGGTCAGGAATAAGTTCGAGCAGATTGGGCCCCTTAGCTAAACATTGATTAAGACTTGACGCGCCACCTGCACTACAACATGATGCGTCAAATACCGGTCGCACCTTTGTAGTGCTACTGTCTGGTTTGTACACAGGTCGGTGTGGTAAATAATGACAACTTACACATTCACCTTTTACTTCTTCTATTACATTAAGGTTTAACCATTGTTTAAATACCTGTTCGTAGTCCATGTACTTTCCGTCTGCTTTCAACTTTTGTGTCGCATTTTCTAACCTTCTCTGAGCTACAAATTTGTTTGTAGGTAACCGTGCATGTGCATGATCATCTAACCAAGGAAGAGAAATTTGATATCTACCGTCACTATCCCTTGATACGGTCTGCCGAAAATGTTCCCGCACTTGGTCATCGACTTCGGCCTTTGTTAGCTTTTCACAAGGATCGTCAATACCAATTTTTTCTAAATCCCACAAATTTGTAATTGTGGATGACGAATTGAGCATTGACGTAACTATCATACTAGTAGAAGACCATTCACCACAAGTTTTTACTTTTCCCAAAACAGTCCACCCTAATAGTGTCTCAATTGCAGTTAACCCGCTTTCTAATTGATGCAACTTTCCAGTCAGCAACTTCCCATAAATATCACCTCCAATCAGAACTTCGATTTTATAACTTCCGCTACCGACGTCGTTCACTACAATACCACGTTCATGTAGCTCTTGTGTCCAATTGGCTTTTAATAGTTTAGGAATCCCACCACAAATGTTGTCTTCATCGTAGACGTCAAAATGACATTTGAATTTGGAAGACAAACTTTCCAAGTAAAGTTTATACTTTTTGTGCGTTTTAGAAACTGTAGATGCACCTCCAAACAAATTATGGGAAAACGTTAATTCTGCAATTTTACTGTACCCTAATTCTAACGCCAAACTTTTCAGAATATATGAGAATTGCGCCCCAGGGTCGATAAATGCACGCACTTCCTTAGATGTATTTTTTCCAAGGACTTTCACACGAAGTGTTTGTAGAATTACATCCCCACTGCATACACGACTCGCCATACTCGTAGACAAATTTTCTAAATCCTTATCACCTTCACTGCACTTTCTACTTTCTGATGTTGTATCACTCTTCTGGAGATCAGGACATAAAATTACATAATGTCTCTTACTACATACGATACACTTCACTCGATATTTACAAGATTTTGATCTATGACCAAATCGTAGGCAAGTAAAACAACGCTTTGTCTCTTTAAGCTTCTGTTTTCTGTCTTCTAGGGACCACCCTTGTGCGATGAAACAATCTTGAGTATCGTGACTCTTTTCACAAAATCCACAAGAGGTTTTAACATTTCCAGAGTGTAGTTCCATTGCCGTAGGAATTTTCTCAACTTTTTTCTGGATTACATTTTTGACTTTATTCGAAGGATTTGAAGTCAAACCAAAACCTTCTTGAGCCAAGGAAATTCGTTGTTCACCTTCAACTTCCATACGTAAGAACTGCATCAATTTATTCAACTTATTTGTGGTTTTGTCAGCATCCTTCCACTTCGCACTTCTTTGCCATGCTTGTAATATATTAGTGGGCAGACAGGACTCCACCATCGGATACAGCATTGCGTCATACTTGTCTGAAGTTACTTTTAACGACTCCAATGCACGCAAATGACTTTCCAACTGGTCATAAAGTTTTGACAAATCACCCTGTTTTTCAGTTNTTTTCAGTTATGGATTTGCAATTTTCATCTCTCAGCACTTCAAACACTCGCCTTGCTGTTTGAAACATTTTCTTATATTGAGCGATATCATCAAATTCTTCATTTTGTTGATCATCGTCCACGTTGTCGTCAAGCATTTGGTTTTTGATCGTATCGTCCAATATTTGCAATTCCCGATGAGTATCCTCCAACATTAATACATTCACACGCATCTGATCCAAATCCGGAATAGTATTTTGGCTTTCAACATTTATGTCATCACACAACTTCTTCAACTGCCGCCTGACAGGACGACGCGCTCTCTCTAATCGATTCATAGGTTTTCAAGTTTTCGAATTGTCCAACAACTCACAAATCACGTCGGGGTCACCAAAAATGTTCTAGTTGATGCGGCTAGGGACTACAACTACCCGTTGATAGTTTAACCGCGTGTGTAAAAAGATCATTCACGAAAAAGAGAATATTCTATAATCGATCAATTTTATTTTATTGACAAATTTCTATTAATTTCAAATCTGTTACATACATACTTGATTACTATAAATGCATCTTTCTTCAGCCTGGTTTCTGCTTCTCTGCTCCTAGCAACGAAACGGTACTTTGCCGTTTATGATCAGCGAAATGTCGCATTTGATGTACGTATAAAAAAAACATCCTTTTCTTAGAAACAGAGCCAGATATTAAGCTTAAAATTCATGTCGATTGTCTCCCTATAGTATATCCTCACTAGGAAAATGACACAACATGAATAACTCCTATTAAGAAATGACACTATAAGTGTTAAGGCCGATTCTCACTTTCGTGCAAAGAACCGGCCCGGCAACGGCACGGCACATACTCGGCACGGGCAAAGTTTTTTGAGTTCAATTCACACTGCGACACGCTTGCCGCAGGTAAGCAGTTTCTACGTGAGTTTCAACTGTGGAAATGTTCGAAACTTCCACGTTAATTAAAATAGGTCTAATATTAGATGATGAAGAACAAGAAAGTACATATTGCAGAAAAATAAAAATACGTTTTTGTGTATATAAAATGCATAAAAAGTATCTTTTATGACCGAAATCATTCTCACGGACACATTCAATCAGCATCTCATCTTGTTCCGCTGAAAAAGTGTTCCTTTGCTGACCCTTCAACCTTTCTTGTACTATGAAAACTGAACTAAAGTCGGTGACCTGCACAGATTGTATTCATACTTGTCGGAACGTGGCACGGTACATGCCCGGCAAATATTGTTTCAGAAGAACACCGCGTGCAAAGGCCGTAGCTTGCCGAGTCGTTGCTCGCATAGTGTGAATTACACCCCAAAAATTCATAAGATTCAATAATATAGATATTTTGCCGAGTCGATGCCTTGCCTGTGCCGAGTACGTGCCTTGCACGAAAGTGAGAATCGACCTTTATTGAATAACAACACGATTTATTCAATGGTGCGTTATTTAGAGTTTGGCTTTGATAATCAAATACAGGAATGAAAATTGTTGATTTAATTTAATTTATTTATTGCCCTACAGGCTTATCGCCAGTTGCAGGACAATTCTAGTAACAATAGTATTTATAGTACTGTATAGTGTAATCTATACTAAACAAACAAGTATAAATTGTGCACAACTCTTGTGCAAATACAGCGCATTTTTTTAACCGAAATAGCTTTTGTTTTGACATCACCAATGGATATATTTCTTGCAGACGTTTCAATCGCCCTTCGTGAGTACCCTCTTCCGACGATTCGCTCTTGAGGTATAAGGGAATATACCCGATCACGATAAGAGGTCGACGAGGAGGGCTATGGTTGGTAGAAATTAATTCCTTTCGTTGAGACCTTTCATTAGAGTACCATGAAGGATAAAACTAGTTTCACACTCCCCCCCCCTCCTCCACCCCGTACTTTGATAAAAGGACAGACAGAAGGCCAGTAGTGGATTAGTGGATAGAAAAGGGTTTTTTTCGTTGAGACCTTTAATTAGAATACAATGAGAAATAAAATTAATTTTTAGCCCCCGCCCCCTGAGGCCCCGTCGCTCACCGAATATCATGAAAGGTAGAACATGTAATTGCCCCCCCCCCCCAATTTTCTACAGTTAAACTTGGCACCACTAAAGGCATGCGTATGCAAAATCTGAGACCAATTGGTTGTGGTATGTAAAAGTTATGCACGTTTTACTTTCAAAAACAGCATCTCAGGAAATAATTCGTGGGGGGGGGGGTTAGACAGCGAAATGTGATAGCCGTCTGGCTCACCTGGCTACCTATTGCAAATTCCAGGACTCTAGGACCATTCCCCTAGAAGTAGTTCGAAACGGCAGATGTGGGTCTGGACGGACGGACAAAACGCAAACAATAGCACATTTTTTTTAATTCTTAAAAAATGCGCTAAAAAAGAAAAAAGTTTCAAACTAATAAAATAGATCCTAACACACATAAAGAATACAACAAAACAGAAGGACAATTCAAGAATAAATGTGAGGGATTATCAGCGTGTATGTCACACATCTGGCAAATAGTGTTAAAGTTTCTGCTTGTGATCGAAATTGGAGAACGTGATAAAATGGAAGTTCGTGGTTTGGACGTATAAAAGGTTAGCTGATTTCTGGTGTTATGCATTGGTACAGGAAAGTGAACTGGCATAATAAACGGGATAATTGTCTAAAAAATGAAAATGTGACGTTTATGACAAATATCTTGAAAGAACGATACCAGTTTTTTTGGATCACCCGCCAACTTATACTGCATTCATTATAAGAAGGTAGTAGATGGTGCTGGGTTTGAAGATAAGCACACACAGGAAAAATATGAAACGGCACCAAATTATTGTAAAGTAGAAATATCCAGCACTGCAAACAGAAATAAATCTTTGACATTAACAGTTAATGACACTTCAACAGTTCAGATGACAATAGAAACTACAGGGAGATCAATAATCATATGCTGCGCCGCTCTTATAAAATATCACATTAGTAATCATTTGCCGCAACCAGGTATATGTGTACCAATACAAAACATAACCTATAATTTCACAAACCAAAACCATGATTTGTGATTCTTATTAGAATACTTTCGTCCCTTTCAAAACGGCTTTTTTCAAGACTACCAGTTTCTTTCGAATATTTACAAGGTGGGTAAATTACTTGTAAATTACAAACAAACGTTTTTTTAGTTGTAGCGTGTAATAGGCAATAGGTTTACTCCGACAAGCCTTTTACTTTAGAAGAGAATAAGATGCGTTTGCTGTCCTGTTTCCGTAATGGGACTAAAGACGAAAGTGGAGTTTGGGAGTACTCGATACGTTTGTGTATACAGGAGTTTCGATAAACGATTGTCAACCATGACGAGGATTACAACCTCGATTACAACAATATACGCCGAAATGCTCATCGTCTACTTGAGCGGTTTAACATACAGGAAGTCTTGCTTCTGGGAAGTCACCTGGCCGCTTAGTGATTGCTAATAAGCAGGTTGTAAAAGATGCTCTTGCTCGTCTTGAGCAAAGTCGGAAAAAGCAGCTGCGACAATGTGTCCCACTAACGGGCATCTCATACGGAACGTGTGACGCTATTGCCTGGAGAAAATTGTACTTCTATCCTTTAAAGTAACCGTAAATTATTGCATGCAAATTTACGAGATGGCAACGTATTCGAAACCGTTTACCTACACACCATTGCCGAATTACGAGCAGGTATAGAAGCTACCGTTTGAAACATTACGCAACAGCACTTACATGCCGTCTTCGAAAACATGAAGAAAAGAGTGGATCCCTGTCTTAATAATGGTGGTAAGCACTTCGAACAGTTGTTATAGTGTGCATGTAATTTATCCAATTACTTCGATATTAACGAGTTGTAAAAGAAATAAAATCGTTTCAATTTTTGTAGTAATTTGCTATTCGTGTAGTTCCACATAATTTGGAAACTTACAAGGTGGTTAAATCGTTGATTTAGGTTAAATATGGTTAAACGTCAAAAGTTTACTTTAAGGTTATGTTTTAGTATTGGTGCACCAGGCCTGTTGCGGCAAATGATTACTAACGTCATAATTTATTGAAGCGGCGCAGCAACTCAATATTGATCGCACTGTCCCAGCTTCAGCTTGCAAAATTCGCCACTCGTTTTATCTTTCAGCGTAATACTGACTCGTGTTTTAACCAATCACATTGAAGGTCAACGCTTTCCTATGCTTTTTACCGCTGCCTTCTTAAAATAAATACAGTATATTATAGGACAGTGCATCAATAAATAAAATTATAATAAGAATTCTAATTTCGGCAAAATGTTACATTGGGTTGAGCGTAAAAATAACGAATTTAAATTCAAAATTAACATTATTGTTAATAGTATAACCACTAACATTGCCATTACAGAGTGGCTTTGGGAGATTTACTTAAACGTTTCTAGGAAAGTGAAATAGGTAGGTTGTTTAAAATGTGTACTTAGGAGCAGTATTTAAACAATGTTACTCTGAAGGTCGAAGAATCGATGTAAAATATTTTCAAAATGGTCGCACTTCCGGAAATACCGGAATTTTTTCAGATTTTCTTTTTAGTAGTCGGCCATGATTTTATAATAACAATCGAATTTTAAACAAATCTTGTGACACTAATCCGTCACCTGTTATAGGTTAACATTAAGTTTTTCAATAATCTAAAAATTCATAGTGGTTTCACCTATGAAGATTTTTGGAATTTAATTGTTGGTGTATTGTATGGTGAAATGGACAGAATCGATTTCTATCTCATGCAATAGTAAGCAAATGACTGTTTACTTAAACAACTGAGTTTTTAGTCTTTGAAATTTGGACAGCTGCGGTCGTACGTAATTTAACTTTTTTTTAAGTACACTAAAAGAAAGCCCTATTCTTTCTCTATGCACCGGTAAAAATGGGTAACTACAACCGGTTTCAAGCTTAGACCATATAGTACATGGACTGCTATTAGCCCTATGCTTTCAATACAAAATGGGTGGTCACGGATAGAGAGCACTGTAGTCGTGTCGTGGGTATGTGAATCTCAGGGTAAAATAAAATCGTATGAACACCACTCGGATTGCGTAAAGAGTAGCTTTTATGGTAACCGAATAGTACGGGAAGCGTATTGGCATTCTGTACTATTATTCAGAGCTGCTCTGGTCTGATTCGCAGTATACTATGGCTTCACGTTATGCGCAATTTGATAATACATTATCTACCGCGATTCAGAGCACCGATATGGTTTAAACTTTAGAGTTCTGAAACACTGTATATAATGGGTTTCTATAAAGCACATCATACACTTACAAAAAGTGTTTTTATTGTTACCTTTGCAAGAAAACT